GGGTGTTAGCATGGTTGGTTTCTGGTGATGACTCTCTTCCTGGTTTGCATTCTTGTTGTGTCCTCTAATGTCCCTTCCTTGGTGCATGTGTGTGGGCCACCAAGCTCGTTATGAGGTCCCTACCCTCATAACCCAATCTAACCCTAATCACCTCCAAAAGGCCTCATCTCCATCACATTGAGGGTTAAGGCTTCAACATAGGATTTGGGAGGGGTCACAAACATTTAGTCCATAACAATTGTTTCCGTTGCTTCATAGCAAATAACCACACACTTTGCAGCTTGACACAACACCCATTTAATATCTCATGGGCTTCTTGGGAAGGAGTTGGAGCTCGTTTAGCTGACACTGGCCAGGTTTCACAGACTGCAATCAAGGTGTTACTGGGGTTACATTGCTTCAAGGTGTCACCGGGGGATGGCCAGGAGAGTGATAACCTGTTATGTCCTTACTGAGGGAAGGGCATTCTAGAAGTCAGGAGTTAGCATGGGTCATCTAGAAATCTTGCCTACCATATAGAATTTGATGACTTTATTCTTTTGGTTTGCTTAGCAGAATCTGATTTATTCCTAATTATCATTATTAATGATATTTGGAAATGCATTTTGACTTCAATAAGCAAGTCATCCATGTCTACTGGATGCCAAATTATTTGAGGGGATTCATGGAGCGATAGCTTGGCTTTATGATGAGGACAGGAAAAGTCAAGAATTCCTGCCATAGTCTAAGATAGCAGCAATATTAATTTCCTTTATGTTTAAAAGGAAGTGGAGGTGGAGGAAAGTTTACTATTTGGAGGTTTGTGTGTCTCTAATAAAATTCCTGCCACAAGTAACTCAGTCACTGTAGAATTTGGATAGTTTTATAAACTTTAGCTTGGAAGAGATCAATGAGTTCTATCTGAGCCTAGTAAAGGTACCTGGAGAGGTCTGGTGGTAGTTTTGGAATCTAGTGGGCCCCATGCTCTTTTGAATGTTTAGATCCTTCATGAGTGAAGAGAGATGAGTCCATGGTTGAAGAATAGGTAAATTGTATACGGTAGAAGTGGGAAGTAGAAGGTACCATATACATGGAGATGTTCCATCCATTTTCTTTTCTGGGAGATGTTCCTTTCCATGCTCTATCTAGGTTTAGTCAGAATGAGGCTGGTGTTTGTGTGGGAAAAAAACAGAGATCCCTAGGGAGATGGATGCATCAGAGCCAGGGTCCACAGAACATGGCATCAGTCTGAGGAGAGAGGACAGCATGGGGTGAAGCCATGGGGCTGGGAGGGATGGGGTGACAGGGAGTGCTGGAAGAGGGGAGCAGTCACAGAACCTGAGTGTGAGGGGAGAGAGCCTGGGGGAGTGCTGGAGCACATTGTGGCTTATGCAGCGGCTTTGTGCTATTTGCTCTTGCCAGCTTCACTGGAGATCCCCAGAGGGGCCTGGATAAGATGTCACCTAGGGAGGTGCTGGGGAAAATCAGGGACTCAATTTTTTGTGGGCCTGGCTTGTCAGGCCAGGGAAATGAGATTTGTTTGGTGGAAATGTACAGGATGACTTCAGTGGGGAGGGCAGAGGTGGTGACAAGAGTGAGTGGGTGAGGGCTATTGTCCAGACAGTGAAACAAGAGAAAAGAGAGGGACAAACAAACGGAGAGATGCTGAGAACTGATCCAGCTTTGCAATGGACTGGCCCACTGAACTGTACCCTGAGCTGGAAAAATGACAATAGTATTGTTGGAAATTCCAGATTCACCACAAGAGGAATGCTTGGAGGTAGAGGAATGAACTCAGGGTCTGAAATATCTGGTGTGAGATGACAGAGAGAGTTCTAGCAAGGAGGGTCAGATCCATCCTAGTAAGGACAGTGCAGTCTAATTGTAAAATGGCTTGGGGACATGGTGTGTCTCCTGGACTCAAGTGTTGAGGACAGAGTGCAAGCGAGAGGTTTTAGAGGCATTCAGAAGAATTGGTGTGACTCAGCCACTGAGAGATGTGGGAGACATCCAAGGAATTCACTAGGGATGGAGCTGGAATACAAGAAAGGAATCTGGGTGGTACCATGGAGAGAAGGGACCTGGGAGATGGGAACTGGCTGTAAATAATATTTGTCACTGCTGACTATTAGGAGGATTTGTATGCATTAAAGAAAAAATATAGATGTGACATGGATGGGAGCAGAGCCCTGGTGAGCTCTCTTTGGCGCGTGGTTTTTGTTGCTGATATTTTTGAATAAAGTTCAAAGTCTTTCAAATAAACTACCGGTCCAGGTGTTTTTGAGACTAGCATGGTGCTGGGTTTGATGGAGGCTGTTGGATCTGAGACCTGGCCCTCCCCACTGTAGAGGTGGTGGAGAGTGACTGCAGTTTGTGACCAAAGGGAACCTTGTAGGCCTGTCAGTAGCATGCTCTCCTCCTGTCCCTTTGGGAATCTCAGGGGACATGCAGCCATGCCCTTGCAGCCAGGTCCCCATCTGCCTGGCCCATGCCCACTGTGGCTAGTGGAGCAATTTATCTTCACAGGAAACCTGGCAATTTATCTTCACAGGAAACACCTTCCCGGTGATAGGGGCCTCCTCACCTGTTGCACTGTTGAAGAGCAACCCACAGCCTCCTGTTCCCACCTGTGACACGGGGGATGAGGGAGAGGGAAGGGTTCCCGGGATTTGAGCTTGTGTGACTAGGAGGAAGGAGTGCTATTGTAAGGGGTAGAGATGACAAGACGAAGTCTGGGTCTGGGATGTGGAGGCTGCAGATGCATTTTGGACCTGTTGGGGGAACAGACACCAGGAGCAGAGCCTGTGGACAGTGTGATGAAGTGGCCATGGCAGTGTCCTGGGCTGGAGAAGGACCTTTGGCAGATGTTAGTGGATAGTGTTGGAGGAGCCTCATAACAGCTCCCATGGAACCCTGGGGGGAGGAGACAGAGGGCTCAGGAGACACTGCCTATTGGATGTGGTGGGAAACTGTGCTGAGAGTAAGGGGGAGGGGCTCACGGGAGACCAGGAAGAAAAGGCAGAGAGGTAGGAGGACTGGAGGGAGGCTGAGGTGGAGAGCAGCTGGGGAAGTGAGAAGGATATCAGAGAAGCGAGGAGCTGGAGGAGCTGGAGGAGAAAAGCCTCAGCCCTGCCGTCGGCAAGATGATGGTGACCACGTTTTGTTGCATCTGGTGACCCCTCGGGTGACCTTGGGAAGACCAGCTTCCTTGGAGTTGTGGGGCCAATGCCAGTTGGTTGGGGCTGGGAAAGGATGGCGTCTCCATAATCCACTGGCTCTTCTGGACACCAGGAGAGCGGGAATGTGGGGATCAGAGCCGGTGTCTGTCCTGGGGGAGCGTGGATTTGGGAGGCTGCCCAGGAGACAGGGAGGCTAGGAACTGGACACAGAGCTGAGCGATGGTTCTTCCAAGAGACAGAAGACAGAGCATATTCTTGTGAGCAGGACCAAAGGGAGGAGCAGGAGAGAGGGGATGACTACCAGCTGGACCTGAGGCAAGGGCTGGGGCGGAGCTTGGCCTGGGAGAGGATTGGGCCACTCAGAGTCAGGGCCTAGAAAGTTCTGGAGCCTCCTCAGAAGAGTGGGAATGGGAGTGGGAAACTGTGCTGAGAGTGATGGGGAGGGGCTTCCAGGCGCTGGAGGGAAGAGGAGGGTGTGCCGCGGGGGAGTCAAGTGTGTAGAGGGGAGAGGGAATCTGTAGGGCCTGCCTTGCCTGGGGCCCATGCAGCCATGGCAGGCAGCCTGGTGGCCCGTGAGTAGGGTCTGCTTTGCCTTTCCCCAAGGAGTCTTTTTGGTCCTCTCTGTGATTTTTTTTTTTTGAGTTGGAGTCTCACTCTGTCACCCAGACTGGAGTGCAGTGGCCGCTCCCGGCCACCGCAGCCTCGACCTGCTGGGCTCCGGCGATCCTTCCGCCTCAGCCTTCCAAGTAGCTGGAACTACAGGTGCACGCTACCACACCCGGCTAATTTTTTGATTTATTGTAGAGATGAGGTCTCACCTGCCCAGGTGGGTCTCGAACCCACGGGCTCAGGCAATCCACTCACCTCAGCCTCCCAAAGGCACGCGATTACAGGCTGAGCCACCGAGTTCGGCTCTCTCTGTGATTTTTAAATAGCACAGCCAAGTCACTTAGAGGACCTGGATGGAATGAGCAGCCCGGTGGAGGGTCTTTCAGAAAGCCTGCCACTCTCAGGCTGCCCAAGGTGGTGTATGAAGCCTGCTCGGTAGTGTCCTGGTGGCCAAAAAGGCCAATGAATCTCTCAAAGTGACTGCAGGCTGTGAAAAAATACAGCTTATGGGGGGAATGCAGTGTGTTGATTTCTGAAAGAACAAGAAATTGACCTTTCATATGACCCAGCAATTCCCCTATTGGGAATATACCCGAAGGAACTCAAATCATTCTACAAAAAAGATACCTGCACATGCATGTTTGTTGCAACTCTATTCACAATCACAAAAACATGGAACCACCCATGCTGTCCATCGAAACTGGACTGGATAAAAAAATTGTGGTACATATACAAAATAGATTATTATGCAGCCATAAAGAAGGACAAACATATGGACTTTGCAGCAACTTGGATGGATTTAGAGTCTATCACACTCAGTGATCTATCGCAGAAACAGAGTACCATGTGTTCTCATTCATAAGCGAACTTCGAACAATTATTATAATACTATAAGAAAAGGATTGGCAGTAGTGGGCAACTGCGGGGGCAGGGAGTGGGATTGGCAGTTGAGGAAAACTGCCAAGGGAGGGATGGGCACACTTCATCAACAAGTGTACCTGCATAATGAACATTTGTACACCTAACCCTGAATTGTACCCCACATCTTTAAAAGAAAAAAAAAATTCCCATCAAAAAAAAAAAAAGAAAAAAGCAAAAGAAAATACAGCTCATGGTAACCACGCTCCTGTGTGCTGAACTCCACATGTCCTTCCTTGCCGAAAGTCTGATGGTGTGTTGGCTGGTTGTCCATGGAAGGTTTCTGAAGCATCTCACCTTCCTGCCCGCTTTCTCCTTCTAGGTGCTGCTGTCGGGGCTTATTGGTGTCGTCTCCTGGAAGAGGCCTCTCTCCCTCGTGGTAAGTTTAACCTGCATCTCCAGGTGGCCTTGGGGAGGGTTCTACCTTCAGAGGTGTGAGCATGTTGGAGGCGAAGAGAATTCCGGTGTCTCTGTAGACGGTGGGATTCAGACCTTTGTAAACACGTGGGCACTGAGTGCTGAAGGACTCCTGCGTGGGAAGCTCTCCGCATCTCCGGACTGCCCTGAGCGTGCTCCTTGGCATCTTCCTAAGATGCTCCTGGGCTCTCCTCGTCTTGTTTGTTTTATTATGTGCTACCCATAAGGATATGCCACGGAAAAAGGCACTTCAAGTGTGTGGGTGCAAGTGTTTCCTGCAGACATTCATGCCTGTTTACACATATGCACATACGAATGTGCATTACACAAACAGGGCATGTTTTATCAGATTTCAAGAGATGTTATGTCTTTGTGTGTTTTGAAGATTGTAAAATTCTGTGAGAGTAAAAGCAGGAGAATTATTTGAATTGCTGTGGTGTTGTGCTAAGGAGTGGGCCTCATGGGGAAATGGAAGGATGATGATGGCTTTTCCCTCTGAAAAGTACACTGAGCACATTTGTGTCTATTGATTTGTGTGCCTGTTCTTTCAGTGTCTGCATTAATATATTTATGTGTCTGCGTCAGGAATGAGGGAAGAGATTTTCTAGATTTTGATGGGTAATGAAAAAGACAGCGTGGTGTTTTCTCTTCTTTCATATTAATCAATTATTTAAAATGTCTTCTTTAAGTGATTAGACTTGGAGATAATGACATGTACTAAATATTAATGGAAATAAAAAAAACAAGTCTGTCTATTGTAAGCATCTCCTTTTTCATGATAGTAACTATGACATCTTGAAAGGGAATCAGGGAAGAGAGGAGTGACTTAAGTTCAGTTGTCTCCTCTTCTGCTATATCTCAGCTCATATAAGAAATTTCCTTTTTTAAAAATATTTTTATATAGAAATTTTCCTGGACCACAAAACAAAACCTCATCTCTACAAAAAAAAAATAAAAATAAAAAAGAAAAAGAATTAGCCAGGTGAGGCGGCCTGTGCCTGTACTCAGAAGGCTGAGATGGGAGGATTGCTTGAACCCAGGAATTTGAGGCTGCGGTGAACTATAATTGTGCCACCGTGCTCCAGCCTGGGCAACAAAGCAAGACCATAGCTTAAAAAGAAAGAAAGAGGGAGAGAGGGAGAGAGAGAGAGAGATAGGGAGGGGGAGGGAAGGAAGGAAGGGAAGGAGGAAGAAAGAAAGGGAAAGAAAAGAAAAGAAGAAAACTTCAACCATATACAAAAATGGAAAGACTGGTATAATAAGCCCTGGGTTTATTACCTCTCATCTGGTCCACATGTATCAACAGCTGGCCCATCTTGTTTTGTCTGTATCCCAGTACCTCCACCCCAGCCCCTTACTGGGCTATTATAAAGAAATTCCAGTGAGTGCATCAAGAAGTTGACTCTTGGTGCAGAGGAAAATGGTGAACAGGCTGACTGTGGGGTAGACTTTCTTGGAGTATGCAGTACAGTGACTGTGCACTGCCTTCAGTGACACAGGGACAGCTGTCCCATCCCTCCTCACCCGCCCTCATGGTGCAGACAAATTAAGTTCTCTACAAAGGAAAAGCCACCTCTCATGGGTGTGTAGATGAAAAGACAAGAGAGGAAAGGCATCCATCAGCCAGTGGCCTCCCAGCTGCCCCCAGCCCTGGCCCCAGCACAGAGAATCTCACAGACTGGGCGTTTTACCACGCAGGATGCTTATAGTGATGAGGAGTTAGGACTCCTTTTGGATGTGGCTCAGGTATGTCCCAGGGAAGCCAGAGGAGCAGGGTGGGGGTCTCAGGGCTCATCCTAAGAGGAGGACACAGCATTGGCTGGGCCTGCTGGAATGTCCAGAGTACTCACCATCAGCCCTGCCACAGTGATTGGTGTGGGGGCCAGCTGCCCTCTGAGAGGCGGTCAGCACTGACCTCCCATGGACTTATTTTCCCTCAAGCCCCAAGCAGAGGAGAAGAGTTTCATCTAACCTGACTGACTACTTTGCCTTACATAGGTAAAGGTATTATTAGGGTGATGCTAACTGATGCGGCAACCCCAAAACTTCCAGTGGCTCAGTGCAGGGCAGATTTTGCTCTGGCTCCTGTTCAGGGAAGGCAAGGCAGTCAGTGGCCGCGTCCTCTGCAGAGGGACTCAGAGACTTGTCCTTCCCCACCTGCTGTTCCCTAGGCCTGTGGGGTTCACTGCAATCCAGTGACATCTTGAAAGGGAATCAGAGAAGAGAGGTGCAGCAGACTGAGCACTCCGGGAAGAAGCCTGCCCTTTCCAGGGTGGTGAATGTAGAGGCGAGGGGAGAAGGAGGAGGAAAATGCTGGGGTTTTATTGTGGTTGTTTGCCCTAGTATTTTATGAGAGCCTTTCCAAATGCTGAAAACTAGTGAAAGCTATATTGATGTGCATTACCACATTACTGGGGTAGGGTTTTTTTTTTTTAAAAATATGTGCTTAGTGTCTCCTGTGATTGAGATAACTGTCTTCCTTACGTTAAACTATAAAAGGTTCCTCATTATGCTGCATGCCAATTAAAAATCAGATTATATAGCTCTGATTAGATGATTTTTTGGAAGATTCAGGGAAGCATTTTTGATGGCTTCAGTATTGATATGGGAAACAGTCTCACCCATAATCGCAGCCAGTATAATTTTTACAAAGCTTGATGAAGTAGTACTGAGATGGGCACTGGAATATGTGTAATAACTAACAGTATTGAGAGGCAAGTAATAATGGGGCTGGAGACATTTTTTAGAATTTATTTTCACAAATAACAAATTACTCATAATGTTATTTAGTATAGTTTTTTTTAAGCAAAGTAAATCTATTTTAAGAAAAACACTGATCTGTAGGAATATGAGTATCATATAGATCCAGTGATGTGTTTAGTATTTGCATTTCATGTTATAGCATTTGCGGAATCTGGCATTTTGCTTTACACAGATGGTGGTTTACTTTTATTACTAAACATTATCAACACAAATAGAAATCTGTATCTATCAGTGTTCAATCAGAGAAGCAGAGCCAGTCTGTTCTGATCACTGCTTTACCTCTGCTGTCCCTTATAATAACCACATCCACCTTGCCTGTAATGATTAAGAGCTACCACTTGATCCCTGCCACCCTGGGGTGCCATCATCCTCATTTATTTGGGGACTCTAGTTTGAGAGCAGCACAGAAATTCCCATATAATATCTGACCTATAGAGAAGAGTCATCACAGAGTTCAGAGATGCTGGGGGTCCCCTCATGAATTTACTTCTCAAAGCTGTGGGGAAAGGTATGTATTCTGGATCCTCTTGAGATGGGTGAGGTCTTACATGATAAATCCACTCAAGCATTCCAATCTCCCTAAGCCATGAGGTCTCTTCTTTTACAGTGCTTCAAAAGAGTATATTTCAACTTTACTGGGTATAGGCCACCCTTGGGTTTACATATCAGCCAACAAACAAACTGGGGGCCCACATCAATAAAGCTGGCCAATTCAACTGTGTGTTTTTCTTGCTATGATTCCACACCATTAACAGTAAGTCTTAATATTGCCACAGCCTCCAGCTGTGAGAAAGTTTCCAGGACACAGCACAGTAGGGGGAACCTGGTCAGAGCCTGGCATACCTGCTGAGTGAGAGAGACCAAATGGAGAGTCTGAGAATCCAAGGTGGCTAGAGATAGGTGGCTACCCTGACTCCTAACCCTAATCCTAACCCTAACCCTAACCCTAACCCTTTTTACACCTCCGCCTCCTGAGTAGCTAGGACGACAGGCAAGTGCCAGCGAGGAGGAACACAGAGGATTTTGGAGACTCGCAGAGGATGCCCTGTTAATATTCAGTTGATACTGATCAGCTCTTGCCTGTGAGGAAACTGAGGCTAGGAAAGAACTGTCTGAGAGTCCTAGAGAGAACAGTGCCAGTCACAAAAGCAGAGTTTTCCCGTGATTCAGGTTGGAAAACCTCATGACTCATTGAGACATTGTGTAGAGTTTTCAGAAGAGCCCCAGACTAAATGCTACTCCAGTTCTTCCCCCCAAATCTTAAAAGATTCAAAAGAATCAAAATAGTTTCCAAGTAATTTAACTATGTCTCAGAATTAAGCTCAAGAATGTTTGTAGGAGTACAAAAGTAAGCAGCACCATCTAGATACCATTCAAAATTTCTAGCATCCAATCAGAGATTACTAGGCATGCAAGGAAGCAGGAAAATATGGGCCAAAATGAGGAGAAAAATAAACCCTTAAAATGGATACAGGACTGACACAAATGTTGGAATTAGCAGACAAGGATATTAAAACAGTTATTATAATTGTTATTCCAGATGTTCCTAAAGTTAAATAGACACATGGAGGTATAGAAAAACTAAGTTGTACTTCTGATGAAAACTACAATGTGGGAGAGAAGCAAAGTCACTGGATGAGACTGATGGAAGATTAGATGAAAAAGATTAGTGAATGCAAAGACATTGCAGTAGAAATTATCCAAAATGAAGAGCACAGCAAAAATAACTTTTTTCAAAATGTAAAGAACATCAGTGATCCGTGTGGAGCAATTTCAAAGAAGCTAATATATGTGAATGAAGGAGTAGGGACAAACAAAAAATATTTGAATAAATAAAAGCCAATTAAAATTTTATTTTTAAATTAGTTTTATTTTATTTTTTTAAGTTAAAAATGTTAATTAAAAACTGTAAGCCCACAGATTCAAGAAGCACAATGCATATAAAGAACAACAACAACCAAAAAAAAAAGAAGAAAAGCACACCTTCTAACATTTGTATAAATAAATGGTATGAAAAAATATTGTAAAGGTAGGGGATGGAAGTAGGCAATATAAGAAGTATAAGTTCACTTGAAGGTAAAACTATGTTAAAGTTAAAGATGTATACTATAAACTCTACAGCAACCACTAATACAAAACAAAACAAAGAGTTGTGTAAGAAACTAACAAAGGAAGTAAAATAGTGTCATAAAAGTACCC